ACCGCCAATGATCGCTATACTATTTACGGAGAAGGTTTATACCGAGCGCTCAAAGAGCTTGACCAAGAGCTATCCAAACCATGTAATCTTCCAATTTACGTTGTTGAAAACGGAATTGGTACTAACAATGACGAGCATCGTACCCTCTTTTTTCAACGATATTTATTTGCACTAGGTCACGCGATAGCTGATGGAATTGATGTACGTGGATATGCATATTGGTCCCTTATCGATAATAATGAATGGGGACGCATAGATAAATGTTATGGATTATATGCAACTGACTATAATCACCCAGGCAAAACTCGTACATTAAAGCCAAGTGCGTATTATTACATTAATTTAGTCAAAGCAGCACTAGGCAATAAATTATAAAATTAATGATTGTGATTATTACTGAAGGGATTAACTCCAATAACATTAATCCCTTCAGTAAGTCCGGAGGTTTTTCTATGAAATTTTCTCATTGTATAAAACGGATACTATTGTTTATATGTACTATTAATACTATTTACTCTGCTCCAATTATCTTTGATCTGGGTCAAGTTTTAGTATTTACAGATAGCATGGCTGCACTCGGACAGGTCGGATTCGTACCATTTTTAGGCTGTGCACTTAATCTACAAAAACCCTTTGCAGGCACGTGTTCGCATTTTTGAGATATTAGAAAAAATACCAGCAGTAGGCGAAAATTATCCCTTAGCATATGACGATCATGGCAGACACTTACCCAATATTATGTGCGATTGGCTTTCAGGTACTCAAACCCCTGAAATAATTTATGAACAAGTACTACGTTTTGTAGATGAGCATCCCTATGAGTTCAAATCATCTTGGGAACAAGAAGTAATTTGCCGTGTAGCTCGATTAATGTTTACACCCGAAAATTTTGCAAAAACTCGCAAGATCTATCCTGCTGCTATAAAATTTGTACAATCATGCATAGACTCAGGACACACTGTATATATTCTTTCAAACTGGGATGCTTATTCCTTTGATATTATGAAAAATAGATATCCTGAATTCTTCAATCTTTTTGAAGATCGTATTGTAATTTCAGGCACTACAGGAACAATAAAGCCTGATGTTAGTATTTTTCAATATTTATTAACTCGCTTTAACCTAAATCCTATTGAGTGTATTTTTATTGATGATCGACCAGAAAACATAGCTGCTGCTCAGAATCTCAATATGCATACAATACTTTGTGAGCCCAAAAAAAATTTTTTAGGCTTATCACGTCCTGACTATCGATGGCTCAACAATCAAATTAATGCGATTATCTGCTCACGTATTCAAGCAGCTTAAATAATAATGTTCATCGACTAAACGTGTAAATCGCTAAGATATCCACTTTCAATTTACAGGC